GTATCATGAGATCGTTGTTTAAAACGAGCTCTTTCGTTAATCAGACCTTCAAGTTGATTATCAGAAAGAGACTGACGTTGGAACGATGCTGAAGACATTTTTTCAATTATTTACGTCAACCTTCTTTCGATTGTGTACTTTCTTCGAATGAAAATAGAAAAGAAATAAAAATGATGATTACGAAATTACATCCATATATATATATATTTATCAATGACGTTAATGAAAAACAAGAGAAATGAAGAAAAACGATAAATCTGATGTCATTTTACAGAGTAACCTAAGAATAAATATTTCTATACCTCCACACATTGCATCACCTCTTTCTGTTCTCTCAAGCCATTTCTTTTTTTTGTGTAAAATTAGATTTTTCTGTTCTGTTCTTGTGTCATGTCACTCATTATCATAACGCAATAATGCAAAAACATCCATTTCACTTTGAGATTCAGTGAATCAGCTGAGTTGTTCACAAAGAGTACATGTTAACAAGTTGAAAAATTATTTTGGACGAGCTTGGATTGTTTATGTATCACAATAGCATAGATAGCGGAAGAAAATTCAGTTAGTAGAGGCTTGAAAATCACTAGTAGAAGGCTGTGAGTATTGGTGTGAGTGGATAGAAGAGTTAGACCAACTCACACTCACATCCACACCTACACCTACCCTCCGCTTGCTCTCAATTACCATGAAACAACCACGAGTCGAGTATATGTGATGGTTGCTAATATCGTATTGTTTCTTGACGAGTAAGACCACGTTTTAATTGTAATACTGAATTGAGATAGATCACTTCAGGATCAATAGCTACGTGTGTTTCGCGAAAATATCTCTCACGTGTACTTCGTAATGTGGATATTTTCAAAAATTTTCACCGAACAAATAAAAAAAGTATATGTCGATCATGCGTCCTTCTCTTCTCCTTTTATGATGAGTCGTAATTACGGTAGCTTGTGCAATATGATATGCGTCACTTTCTTCTTTTTCTGCGCAATGATTAAAAAAGAAGACGAACCATTGAAGAGAGTTCTAGTGATCCTGTATAATTACATCAAATTTGAAAACAAAGACCATATCACATTTATGAAAAAAATTAAGAAATAGGAACCTCCCATCGAACTCGAACTTCAACAATGAGAACGAATACTATGTATGATTGCACTTGAAGTCATGATCTAGTGTTGAATAAATACTCCCTTCGACATCTTCATACGTGTAACAAAAGACTTGTTTATGTTACACTTTTTTCCGCTTTAGAAGGGTGTGGATGGGTGGAGTGTGGGCAAGGAGGAAACATCGTACTTTTGTACTTTAAAGTACATTGAAGTACTGTAAAGTATCTTGATGTACGTTGAAATACAATGAAGTAGAATTAGTAGCAGGCATTTACCGTTGTGTTACCAGGTCACTGATAAGGAAGTAACAATAATTGCGAGCCCTCGATCTTTCCACTAAAGAAGAGTATTTCGAGAAAACAACGATTTTTCATTAAGGTTCACGGAAGTATATCTGGGTCGCGTAATCTGAATCCGCAATCGGTTTCTCAAAATTTCGAAGTGAAGTTTTGGGTTAAAGAAGGGGTGTTTTGGAGAAATAATGATTTACAATAAAGGTCGAAAAAAATAAATCGAGGACGAGGAGTCAGAATCTGAAATCAGTTTCTTGAAATCGAGAACTCGTTTTTTAGATGAAGAAAGGGTTGTTATAGGAAGATGAGCATCTATGATCAGATCTAGCACTATCTGTTGTGAAAAATTTGTCTTGCTGAGCTTACTTTTAACGTATTTCCTAGTAATGACGTGAGCAGGGATGGGAAGTTACCGTTACCGTTCCCGGATAACGGTAACGGAACAGTTACCAGTTACCCGGGAACGGGGTAACGGGACCGTTACCGTTCCTAAGGTAACTGGTAACGGACCCGTTAACCCGTTCCCGGGAACGGTAACGGTCCGTTACCAGTTCCCAAGGAACGGGGTAACGGTCCTATTATATGAAGATATCCTTAGGTCCTCAGGTCCTATTGTAGGAAGGTACCCTTAGGTCTTCAAGTCCTATTATAGGAAGATATCCTTAGATCCTCAGGTCCTATTATAGAAAGATATGTTTAGGGCCTCAAGTTCTGTGATAGGAAGGTAGCGATCGCTCTTGAAGCTACGCTGTAGGGGGGGGGGGCAGTATCATTAGATTCTTAAGGACTTGGAAGAAGGACATGTAACTTAAACGGTTACTGCGCGAGATGTTGCTGATGTATGGTCAGGGTCATATATTGAGAACGCCTTGTTGAATCGCCTGAATTTTTGTTATAATTTTGGCGGTTAAAAATAACCGTGGAGATTATATGTGCCGCAAAACATAGAACGTAACCATCCTGTCGTATTGAACAAGAGCATTATGCATATTGCTTCTCATCTTAAGTGTGGAAAGAATGTTTTAGTAAATTTTGTGATAAAATAATGTGTTATTCAACAATTAAATTAAAAACAGGCGGTATCAACCTGGGAAACATTATTATCTTTTTAAGAGTATCGTGTCGTTTAAACTTTTACCTTTTGATGTTAGTATCATTCTTGTCATACCGATATTACGGCTAGTAAATATCTTCTCTATCTATGCTGTTGCTGCTGTTGTTGTTATGATCGCACTAGACTGGGAATGGTACAGGTTTAGTCTAGCTTTTGTTGGTTGTATCCTATGGGAACAACTGTAGCGTTCAAGGCTGAATGAACATTATCCTTTTTGATGCGATTCTAGATGGTTTAGTCACATTTTAATTGCCAGAAAGCTAGTTGTCCCGTAGTTCTCTTTTTTTTATGATCTTGTTTCATCTGTGAAAAACCTTTTTGTGTTGTAATAACAAAAAGTAGAAAAATCGAAAACAAATAGATGCATTTATATCGAGAATTTTATTTTAGAAGCGGAGGGCCAATGAGTGATATCTGTGGGTAACAGAATATTTCCATGTTTATAAAATATAGTAAACACTATCGTCACAGTCGTTTTTGAAGATAAAAAGCTCAAGAGTTGCAATTCAAAACAGTTTTTTTTAATTAAGTTCGACTTCATTAAGTTTTGGTTTCTTTTTTTTAATATGTTGGCTCACTTGTGTGCTACGGAATGAATTTTTGTTGCATATGGTATTGGTTTTCAATATCCAACAACTTTGTTTTAGATGAAATAGTATAATGAAACTATACAATAAATAACTATATTATACAAGGGCTCATTTGAAAGCGGTTGATTTTAAGGATATGTGAAATGAAAAAAAACGATGAATAAATAAAAACATGAGAGGATCAGCTTAAGTTTAAAAAGATGATTTTCATATTATAGGTCTAATTAATTCGATTCTTCAAAATAGTTCTTAAGAAAATATTTTACTCTATTTTATAAACAGTAACATGTTGCTTTAAGAGTAAAGAGTTCCATTTTTCTGAATTAAGTTGCATTTATATATCTTGAGCAATGGATATTACCCATACATATAATTATTTTCATTACCAAACGCATTCATGTCTAGTGAAAATCATTTATGTCATATACAACAAGCAAACCAATAATCTGTCTCAAGCGGTGATTTTTCAATAAACTCTACATTGAACGACTCCATATAAATAGCATAAGAAAAGTGAAACGCCAAGAATAAAGTTCAATAAGAATGACGCTTGAAAATATCACAGCATTCATATTACTGTTCGGCAAGTACGTGAGTGTACATATAGCTTGATCTTCAATTAGTTTAACGGCATATCCATACAAACCTGATTTATTTAGGTTGCTCCTCAGATAAAATGTCCTTCAGAATGAACAAAAGATCAAAATTCCACCGAAAAATGTGCAGAAAAGAATCAAATACTCATGGTCTATGTTTAAATATCCAGAAATATTTGACTATTTCTACAGTGTCTAGCAAATTTTTCCAGTTTCGATTGACAATATCATCATTTCTTCTTCTTTGCTGTGCGGCTCATCACTTAAAGGTCGATTATAAGTCCTCAAACAGACCACAACTATGTGTTGATTATCATACAACTTGGATTAGACTTATGCTCTAGACGGATGAATTTCAAATAAAGATTTTTTCTATTTGATTCATGAGAGGTCAATACTTTATGTTATTGTGAATTTGAAATTAAAATAAATTTGCGCATCCGAAAAACGTTGGAATCCAACAAGCGATACAAAGTTAATGATATACTTGTTGAAAAAAGAATAAATATGTGGACAAAACAAAGCAATATGTAATTTGCATAAAAAAAAACTCAATCATAATTTCGAATAGAAATCAATAATGATAAATGACTATTATAAATTTGGACTTCCTGTCAATATTCTGTTTTTTTCTTTTCATAGCTTACTTTTGTATAAAAATATTATTATTCCTTAATGTATGTTTAGCAGAAATCATGGCAATTCAAATCTATTGATTTCTATTCGAAATTATGGTTAAATGTCTTTTACACTAATGATGCACGCTGTTTTCTCTTATTTATTTCCTACTAACTCTTCTCCAAGAAAAAAAAATTCGTAAGTTATTATTAAATTGCTTGGGGGTTGGTTTATAAATATTATACTGTTGCTAGAAAGCTGTTTGGAATAGTTTTTCCGACTCTCTTTATTGAAAAATACACATGAATTATTGGCTTATAAACATTAATTCAGTTTGCAATTGAAAGCTAAACTTTTTGGTTATAGAAAATGAGACTTTTAAAAATGTTTAGCATTGAGATCGATGGAATTCTATCATAATCAGTTAAGTAATGCTTTTTAGTTGGCAAACAATTATATGGGATTTTTTTGTTAAGCTCTAACATTGTGAGTACTATACGAGTCTATTTCTTCAAATACATTATCATATATTTTTTTGTGTAACATTTTCTTCAAGTCCCACTTGATTTGTAACATTTCACTAAGACTTAGTACAAATCTTCAACATATGCTTTTCACAGAAAAAATTTTAAAAAATCCTACAAAAACAATTATTCCTATTTTCACATACCCTATATCTAATTATTTTTAGGGTCCATGTGTTGAATGAGTTTATCGAGCCATGGTCGATATTTCAAAATCATTGAATGTCGGATGCTTTTTGATCCTAATGATGTGCGTTGTTTACGACATAAGTAACCGGATAAACTGAAAGCAGTCTCACTACTGATAGATGTAGCGGGTATTGCACAAATTTGTCGAACAATATTCGCAAGATTAGGTAATTTAGAATCATTCTCTATCCAAAATGTATTAAATTGCTTTGCATCAGCAATTGCTTGTACATAATAGCATAATTCTTCATCAAGCGATAAACGTCTATCATATGTTGATGACGTTGTTGTTGTTGTAGAAATACCGCACAATTTGGCGAATTTTTCTTTTGCTCCTTCTTTAGACGTTTGATTTGTTGTTGTTTTAGACTAAAACGATACGAATTGTTCATCATTAGAAGTGTCGTTTTCGAATGAAAAAAAGCTCACTTGTTGCACAGGCATAGACATGCTGACGATGTTTGCTTTTTCACGCATAAGTTTCATTATAATTTTCTTTGCATCTATAATATCATTTTCGCTCATTTCCTTGTACATAGTTGGATCGAGAAATGCAGCAGCCTATTATAAATTATAAAGATATATGTGAGAGAGTTATCTTGATTATTTTGGAAAATTGAGGATTCCGATGTTTGGTGCGCTGATAAATAGAAGAACTAACTAACCACATATTAAAAGATGATGATATACATGAAAGTATGTGTCTAACAATGTAATCTGTCGAAAAAAAAATCGAAAGTATAGTGAGTAATGTTTTAAAGAACTTGGAAAAGAAGTTAAAATCCGATTAGTGAACATCATTTCTACATGAACTATAGCAAAGTTTTCATGATTAACCTGAATTTTGCTAGCATAAATTCATGTCTTGCTCATGTATAAGTAACTTTTCTTCCTATTGAAAAATGTTGCAAATTCAAAGTTTTTTGTTAGTCCTTTTAAAATACAATAAACTCATTCGTAACGAGATAAAATTAAGAGGATCATGTAAGTAATCGTTTTCAACATTATCGTTGCTTTCTAATATATGATTTGTCTTTAGTAATTGCTTTTTTACAATGCAGACTACTGAGTTCTACATAAAGAAAAGAATATTTTGTTTAACTCTTGAAAAGTGAAGATGTTCAGTATTAACAATAATCAAATGAATTTTTTGCACTCTTTCTGACTTCAACGTTAATAAACTAATATAAAGCTCTGAATAGTCACTGCTATATCAAAATATTATATGTTATTTCAAACTCAAATGAAATAAAAATATTTAAAAGAAAATTTGCAATTGGAATCTGTTGCTAGAATGAATGATTTGCATCGCTTTCAAAATTTATACTAGACTAAAAGTCCTCTGGAGGTTTACCAATGTTAATTGTTTTTGTTCGATTGATCTATTAACGTTGAAATAATATTTAAATTGTGCTTGAAGACTTCTTTTAATGTCACGTGCTAATTCAAGCTCATCATCTTCTTTCCACAAAAAAGTTTGTAAACCTTTGATTGTGTAATAGGCAGTTGATAATGTTGGATATGTTTGACCAGACAACATTTCAGTCGCCAGATGAAATGGACCAAGAACTGATGAAATAATTTGTAATAAATCCCACTCGTCATGGGTAAACGATAATTTTTTTAATTTAGTTTGGCATTTTTTAGTCAAACTATTTTTAAATCGGTCTGGTGAGGCAACAATTGCTTGTATAACATTTCGATGATTAAGAAATCGTTCGAGCATTATTTGAGTACTATTCCATCTTATTTTCATATCTAATATTATGTTGCCATAAGGTACCTGGCCAGGTTTTCTTTGATTAACATAATCTCGTGTTACTTGATGATTCCGAATAAAAGCAATTAATTTACGAGTTTTTTGAAGAACTTGTAGATTATTCAGAAGTATATGAAATACTTTTTCATCTAAAACACCACCTTCAATATCACCAGTATCGCATTCTTCATCATCAAGTTCTTCATCACTGGAAAATTCATCCTCCGAAATTATTGTCGTAGAAGATGAATTCTCACTTGGACTGGTAGAAGGTGTAACTTGATCATTACTGACATCATCTTGTTCCTCTTCACTATCACTATAGGTATCACTAATTTCTTCTTCACTATCAAATTGTACATCATTGTCATTGAAATTTTCATCATTGGTAAATGGAAATCTACAAAACAATTATACCAATTAATCAAATATGAGAATTTAGTTTTAGAAAAATTCACAAGTATTTCGAAATGGTGAGTGTAACCTTTTAGTCATTTTTTCGGCTCCCCATTATTTCTCTTCCCTGTGATAGACCGTAGCAATTCTCCAACACAGTTCTGAATGCTTCTCAATTCCCCATTACAAATCTGAGCAATTGCTATTAAATTATAAGTATTTATAATAGTTTTAGTTGCCATTTGCTTTAATGCTTGTAATAATAACAATACGAGATTAAGAACAAAAGAATATGAAAATGAAAAAGAACGAGTAGGCAAAAGCAATGGAAATAAACAATAGGGCCGCGTTAACAAGAAAAATAATTCTGTGTGAAATGTAGAGGAACACGACAACATTTGTTGAAAACCTATCATTGTTGACAAACAACTATTGCATTTTAGAAATTTATATACTTTTTACATCTTTCATTAACACATCTAAGCTAAAATATCGCATGTGAATTGCAATTCAGCTCCAATAGAGCTGCACTCATCCACTTTTTTGTTCTGCATAAATATGAGCTTCTGCTTATGTTTCATATTTCTCATGTTCATCATAATCGAAATTCATTAAATGCAATTGCAAAAGAATCAGAATCACTTTCGTACGACACATGTAAAAAAAATCAAGTTTAGAAAGATCGAAATCAATCATAACCATACAGTTTTAATTGATAACTTAAGCAGTAATAATCAATTCAAAGCTGACCCTTGAAAAAATAAAAAGTAATTCAAAAATTTATTATTTCCTATTTTTCTTATCTTTGATTACTGATGAAACAAGAAACTTTAATATTGCGGTAAAAATACTTCAGTTAGAATATGAACAATCTATCCACTGATTTTCGCAATAAATGTAAGGTACAAAGTGATTGGCTTTGTTGGTAAAAATTTATATTGCAAAGATATGAAATATTCTTGAGAAATTTTCTATTAGAATAGAGTAACTGATAAATCATGTGACACTTAATTTTTTAAGCATTTATAGAGACAGAATGTTAGAAGAGCTTCTGTAACTAACGAGAATTTAGTGAAAAATGTTCTAATAGATATTGAGTATTATAAAATACACTTCTAAGTTATGTCTCTTCTATTGGTAAACTAAACTATGTTAGTGCTAAATTTTTACATTCAAATAAATCTTTTAACATTAAATCATGCTTACTAAAACATAAAAATTCACTCACGTATTGGGATTAGGTCTTTTCCATAAGCATACACCTTTGCTGACCACCAAGTTCAAGTTGTGAGATGCACATTTAAAATGATAACCGAATTGAAATGTTCCCATAGCTGATTCAAAGTTCGAGGCACCATCAGTTGTAATGCTGATTATACGATGTGATTCAATACCACTTCGTTTTAATTCATAATCAATATAATTTCGAATTGATTCACCAGTATGGCGGCCTTTGAAACGACGAAAACCAATGAGAACAGGAATATTCTCATAGGTATTAGTCATAATATGAGCCGTAACACATATGAATGATTGACGTCTGGAGTTTGACCACATGTCTGCAGTTAAAGCAACATGATTAATTTTTGACATAACTTTACGTAAATCTTCTCGATAAGTTAAATACATTTGTTTCATAGTTGAACGAACAGTTTTTGTACATGGACCACGATACGATCCATCGAAAGCTACTTCAAGGAAGTGCTGCATTCCTATAAATATTACATGTGAAAGGTATTGATATTCTTTTCAATAGAGTATATTCTTCTCTATATTTTATTATTTCTTAGTAGTTTCTTCTTGTTTAGAAACTTACTATTATTAGCAATCTAATTAAAAAAAAGAAATTATTCTTTTTTCTCTTTGTTTGACTAACTTTGATATGGAAAATATTTATTGCATCATAAACACTGCTTTCCTTCGTTTATATGATTTGTAAATTAGATTACAACGACGAACCGATGGAGAAGAAAAAGTTCTAGATCTCAGAGCCAGGAATATGGAACAGTTGTGATATAAAAAAAATATAAAATCTACTATATTTTTATACCACATATCAATTTTACATAAAACTAAAGGTAAAAACATCCAACTTAGAAGACATTTCATCTTAACTGTACAAATATATATCTTTGGAATAGTCAATAAAAATATGAAAAGGAGATATTTAGATTGTTATTGAATGCAGAAGCTACACTTGATAAGAATAAATATGTTGCGATCTGTTGATTGATTCCTCTTGAGCAAGAAAAAGATCGATAAACATGTCATTTCTCAAATTAGATGTATTATTATTAATGAGTTTAACAAGCATTATTACTACAAGGAGCAGTATAATGCTTGCAATACGACTTTCAGTCACCTTAGAACGACAGAGAACATAACTGTAGTGCATAAGAGAAGTTTATATTCTTCTTCATACAAATTATCAATACCTATTTGTCCAAAATAGACAGGTCTGACATTTCCATGTGTCTATTTCCCATTTGACATAGTCGATTTGTAACAATAAGTTTTTTTCTCTTTTTATTACGCTGTCAAATCAGAAGTACAACAAAGTGGACTACTTTTTTTTATATGTACTTTTATGCATCCATTAGTAAAAATGGAGAATAGATCTCGCTTGATTAAAAAGCATAATTGTTTTTGTTCATCATATAGCTTATTTTCAGTATTGGACATATTTTATTGCAGAAGGAACTTTTTATTTATCTGAATGGTAATGTATAGGAATAGAAAAAAAAAGCTTCCTATTGAGATGCATGAGCTTATGTTTTTATCGATCAGGTATATATTTCTTAACGCAGAGATTTCATTCTCAAAGTTAAAATAACTCTGCTACCATAGAAGATAGATAGCGTATTCAACAACTGTAAACATTTTTTGCCCATAGTAATCAGCTCACACAGGTAGGATGATGAATATTTCGTGTCTAGCTCACGTATATTTTGTTCTTATCTAATAATCAATCAAAAATAAAGACACAGTTTAATATAGTATATAGATACATTTAAATATTGTTTATAGATACATTTAAATATAGTTTACGTTCATACTTTTTAATAAGTAGTTTGTCCACGAGGAAGAGAGATGCTTCTTTTCTGATATAACTGAGCTGCATTGTATCAAATCATTAGTTTTAAATCAGTTTAAAATAATTTTTAATCAGTTGAGTTTGTCTTAACATCTATTCGACAATTAATATGGTAGATACTTGTTGAATTCAAAAACAACATTTCTCGTATTTAATTACTCTTGTCTTTTTGTTCTAATTATATAAAAATACATTTTGGTCAGCGCGTAGTCTGTTTAGCTCTCCTCAAAATCTCGTTACGCATTCTATTATACCAAGATTACAATATTTCAAATTCTTAATCGTCACCACAGACATTAGAAAATATAGTAACAATTGTTGTAGAAGTATGTTTCAAAATTTCTCTAAAACATGTTCTCACTTGTGTAGTATTTTTATTTTCTATATACCAAAGTCTTAATTGCTAGTAATATTTCCCATCATACCTAGAAATCTAATATTAGAAGACGGTTCCAAGAATAAGTTCAAGTGTTTTTCGACTAAGCATACGATGGGCACAGATTTCCAACGATATTATCCTAAATAGTGGTTATTTCATTTGCTTCAGTTTACGGTGAAGATGAAAAATTCTGAACGTTCTCGTCATTGTGCGATTGAAATGATAATTTGACTTTTTTGTAGATGTTAGCTCGAATCGTCGAGCGATAACTTTATTCGAGAAAAATGTTTATATCTATGTACATACAAAAGTAAACGAACGCACACACATATATAGGTATAGATAACAATGGGAAAAGATAGATATAACAGTAAGAGAGAGAGAAGAAAGAGAGAGAAGAATCGAGAAGATGGATCGAGGCCTGTAACAGTCAAATTTATCATTTTTCTTGAGCAAGTTAGTATTAAAATAATCACGTTTAAACCAAGATATAACACAATCCGTAACATCGATGGCTACATTTTTAAAATACTAAGGGCATTTTGATAATATTCCTTCAAATATAAATAATAATAGCATAACTTCAGTCAAGTAAATAGATCACCTACCATAAGTAGACAATGTATTTTATAAAACAAGAATGAAATAAAAAAGAACTAAATTTTGCAGTTTGATTGTATAAGATACTTTGAATGAATCTAAGAAATAGAAAAAAAATACGTTGAAGAACATTAAATGAGGTAGAGATGCACCAAATCCGGTTCCAATTGTTGGCTTGGAATCGACTACAATCGGGAAATCGAATTCTTAGACAATATTAAACTAACAAGATGTCGATGTTTTACTATCTATATGTTCATCTATTCTTTTCTTTTACGTTTTTTCTTTTACTTTCGTCAGACATGACGCTTATATCGAATAATGCGTACATAAGAATGCGAGAACGAATCTATTTTCGAAATTGTTTTTTTTTCTTATTCTTCTCTTCCATAGTTGTGTATTTAAATCGTTTGTTCCAGGGCAAATTTTGTTATACAAATTCCTTCATTTTAAGGATCTGCCGATTCCAGTTCTAGTCAGTTCCGATTCTTTGGATCGATTGGGATCGGAATTGGAATCAAAATCGATCGAAACTCACTGGAAGCAAAACCGGCCTAAAATTTGAATTATAAATGAATTCCAATTGACCTAGGTTCAGTCTACAACTAAAGCCTTGATTGTTCAATGAGACTTTTGGGTCGAAAGACACTAATAAACCGTGAACAAAATGTCACTGACTAATCAAAATCTATTAAAAACAGTTGAAGATCTGCTCAAAACTTTAATTCCAAATTAATTATAGGTTATTTGCAATTGAAATTCAGGTTAGTTTCATTTCCGATTCTAATCAGTTCTGATCGATTCCAGGTGAGCATTTAATTGAAAGACATTCCATAATTTCATATAAACTTATTTTAAAACAAATCCAATATGCTGTAGGAAAAATAATTAAGCTACATGATTAGTTAATTATAATATTTATAGCCAATAAATAAAAAAGATAATCACATGGACATGACTTTACTTTTTTTCCATCAGCATAGAAAACTTAACTCATGTCATAATTGCAATAAAAATAAAACTTATCGTTATCATTTTGGTTTAGAGCTGCTGGCTTGACTTGATCCGTCCATATAATATTCGACGCGGTGAGCAGGCCAAAGTTATTGAGCTGATTTTCACGTTTTGAAATCAAATGTTGATGAATTGTCTTATCTACTCAAATTAGCTCGACAAAGTCGTTTTATTTCAACGACAAATGCTGAAACCGAATGTCATTTTAAGATTGCAGGACTTACATTGTTTGGCTGTAGAACTTGTTTATAGCCACATTAATTGGATCGTATGTTTTGCAATCGTATTGTTAGACAAATTAACAGTGAAATGAAAATGCCTTTTCCTGCGAATTCTAGTATTCCTTATTTTTTGTAATTATATTTTTTTTTCGTCGTTATATGCCTATCTATAAGTTGTTTTCGCGATCATGCTTATATTTTTTTTTGATTGTATGTGAAACTGTTGATATGATCAAAAACATTTCGATAATTAAAGTCTTTCTGGTATCCGACACATTTGTAATGATTTATCTCTTTAATTTGTCATTTGGTACAGGAACTTGTTATTATCTTTATGGAGATAAGTAAAAAAATGTCACTTGAATAGCATATTAATGCAAAGTTATATATACAATTTAATAAATTTGGAGAAACAAAACTATCAGTTACTCTGATTTCACCTGCAAATCCCTCTTTTACTTTTACCCTCTCTTCTAAGCACCCCAAGTCACGCCGGGCCAAGATGGAAAAAAGTGATCTGTGCACAGTTCTGTTTTTTTGTAAATAAGTGTTCACAATACAATTTTCTCAAAATATAGATCAGATTCTTTCAACGTTCGTCATATATTTTAGATACTTTAGATATTATCTTATCTTAACCATAAAGATTTAATTGAATCCTTTGTGATTAGTTACTAAGTAGCTATTACTATATCTGAATGAAACGAAAAACAAAATCACGTCTTTTTCTAATATGAGATTTGACGATTATTTTTTTCAATAATAAGAAAACACGATTCTGATAATTAAATCAAAAATAGATTGTGAAATTAAAGAAAGTATATTAGAAGAATAATGTTATATTCTAACAATTATATTTCACTACATAATTAGAGTTAGTAATGATAAATTCTGATTAGATGATGTTGACATATTTATTATTAAATAAAATGAATTAATTATTCATTTTTTCTGCAAAGGAATATCAAGAATCCTAAGTTAAATCAATACAGTATTATATTTTGATTTTTAAAAATAAAGAATAAACATAATTAACATTTAATAAATTTCTGATTCAGACATTTATTTATTGAAAAAATGTATGTCGGAGAACAGTCAGCTTTATCTATGGTCTGGTGAATACTTATAGTCTATTCTATCAGGCCTAGTTAAATTTTGAAATTTTACTCCGGTCTAATCCGTTCAAAAGTATTGGTTTCGATAGGCATACACAAAGTTGACTTTGTTGGAATCCAGATCGACTTCTAATTTTCTTTAACACTTGTAGGATCATATCGGAACTGGAACTATTGACATTTCCTGTTCTTGGGATTGAGATCGCTCACCTTCATTCTGTATTAGTCTTGAAGTCTTGAAATCTATTGTTTCCTTCTTGATCAGAAAGTTAAAAAAATTAGTTTGTTCGAATTTGTTTCCGATTCTAATTTCTTTTTGCAAATTGAAACCATAAGGGATCTTATCACATTTAGAATCGTGTTTCACTAGACAGGACTGAGTTTTCTATTGTAATACTAATCGACGATATTCATTCGAAATCGCCAACTCCTACTGGTTTGGCTTGCCAACCAGAGTAGATGGTAAATCATCCTAATCAAGTTTTAACCTGATCTACAAATACTATAAGTCAGACCATACCGGGTTGGAAACAAGTAATCTGTTAACAGCTTAGTTTCGTAATATGGACGTGATACTTTCTAGTTTTTTATTAATATTACGCAGACCCAAATATTTCTTAGCTGTTATTGTCAACAAATAGTTTGCTTACAAACTGAATTTAAAATATTTTTATCAAACAATAATTCAAATATTTTTCAAGCATATCCCAATAAAAATTGTTTTTATCAATTCAATCAAACATCAGCTAATGATAGAAATCAAGTGCTTGCATACGAACCATTTCAATCAATTTTTCAGATTATTCGTCGACAAATTGTATGCTACATTCCATATTCGATTTATTGATATTTTATCAAAACAAAAACATGAAAACTATTGATAAGTGAACGAATGATTTCCTCCTAAATCAAATACATTTCTATCAGACACCTGATTTTCAGATACACAACATAAAATATAAAAAAGAAACCTTTCAAAATCATGTACAAAAAAATCAGATTCACTTTCGGCGTATCGCATCATAATGAATAATGGCACCTTGATGATCATTGCAAAAATATATGATGAATGAGGTCCATCTACACAGACTTCGTTACTTTTAACATAGTACACCAAACAATTAAAGAAAAAAATATACGAAACCAATGTAGCTTCAATTAACCATCGAATAAAGACTACGTATGTAATAGTGTAGTTGATCTTTGTCAAATCTAACCATGTGTAGAGAAATGCAGCAACCACATAGATGAACATTAATATCACTTCTTGTTTCAATAAACGAATTATGTTGACTATTCCACTATCATCACTATTGCTATAATGTAAATCAGCCCATTCGTGATTAATAAAGAGCAGAGAGAAAAAATAAATTGGAAGGAATACGCATGCACAGAAATATGTCTGGATATGAATTACAACGATCACGTGAACAAGTAACCAAATTTGTACATTACCAATACATGAAAATTCTTTGTCTTCGGTTAACGTCGATTTGTTTAGTAATATGACCAGATTTTCAATTGCTGAGAGCATTGATTTGTTTTATTTATGAGTAAACTGTTGTGGGTACTTCTTCAGATCGACGACACCCTCTCTCATTGGTCATGTGATAAAGAGAAAAGAATAATTATCATTTCCTCTTTATTACACGAACAATGAGAGAGGGTGTCGTCGATCTGAAGAAGTACCCTGTTGTGACTAGGGGTGGGAAGTTACCGTTCCCAGGTCGTTACCTGGGAACGGTAACGGTAACGGATGCCGCATAAAAAGTTACCAGTTACCCGGGAACGGGGTAACGGGTCCGTTATCAGTTACCTTAGGAACGGTAACGGTCCCGTTACCCTGTTCCCGGGTAACTGGTAACTGTTCCGTTACCGTTATCCGGGAACGGTAACGGTAACTTCCCACCCCTATGATCAACTTCAGATGGCCATAGTGACTAAACAACTAATTGCAGAAGAATCAAGTGGTGCTATCATTCGAACGATCAATGCACTAAACAATCGTGATTTAGCAATGAACAATACACTATCACCATTATTTGTAGGTGAAATTCGACTATTTGCAGGTCTCTTGCCACTCCCACTACCTCGACTAGTCTGTAATGGATCTCATGTATCACGCACACAATATTCGTTTCTGTACAAAATAATTAGGAACTCGTATGGCGCTACTGACAACGAAACAACATTTATGTTGTCCGATTTTCGGGGTCGAGTACCTCTGGGAGTTGATGCATTTGCGATGCGTATGGATTATGCTACTAACGCTGGTCTAGTTGGAGGACAAGCAATACATACATTACGTGTCGACCAATTGCCAAAACATGCTCATGGTTCAGGTTCACTAACAACTTCGACTGCAGGTGAGCACTATCACACTATTTCAGACCCTGGTCATGACCACGGAGGTTATACAAACAAAGCTGGAAGCTTATCACGGCATTCGGCAGGAGGTGATCTTATATTTGAAATGGCATAAAAACATGACTATATAATTGCACCTGATGGTAAGTACAACCATGGGATACCAAGAGGCTACACAGGTATTGGGATGGGAACAGCAGGAAGCCATACCCATTCGATTTCTGGTCAAACGGCATCAGTCGGTAGTGCTAACCCTATTTCAAATATGCCACCATTTCAGACTGTCCGTTACATTATTTTCAGTGGACAGTATTGATTAGCATCTTTTATGAAATGCATTGAAGCAATGACAGTAAGAAACTGTACCACCACATGCTTATTCTCCACGTTTATCGGGCGCTATGCTGCCTATCATCTTAGTTCATCTCTCTCTTCTTCACACTTTATCTGATATCGCACTTATCGTCTGTTCTTTTTCTCCCTATTAGTTCTCTCTCTCTATGTGCACCTATTAATACTCATATTTGTCTGCTGTTGCATCAATAAATAGAGTAACGAGCATCTTTGCCAGTCACAATGACTTCCAAAGAGGAAAACATATGTTTTACTAAAGTGATTTGTGAGGATGGGGATAAGTGTTGATGAAGAAAACGACTAAACCGTTTATATTCCCAAATCAACAACCATACGTACATACACACATGTATATTCACTCTGACAGCCATAGCGAGAACCATCTCACAACTAAACCCGCACCTACAGCCGAGTGTGGTGTGTAAGCGTGGGTATAGAGAAGATGAGATTGAGACCTAGTCCCCCCACACCCTAAGATAGTCCAAGAATAGCTATCAGCGCAGCTTCTGACTCTCCATTCTCGAAATCATCGCAACAGAAAATGATTACTTTTGATGCATATGTTTGCTAAGTAAAAGAAGAAAATTCGCAAAAGACTACATAAATACAGTACGAGACAATCTCAATTTTTCGACGATAAAGTTTCAGTCAACATAAGAACGAAAAAAGATTTTACCTCGAGTCGATTCTGTCCTGTCCAAAGTTTTCATTATCGTCCTTACTCACAACTGTTAACCAAAGACTAGAGCACCGCTTTTGATTGTTTCTGGTAAAAGATGAAAGCTAAATTATCAAAATTACTACTTTGCGAAACTTACTTAAGATGCTTGAAAATTCATATTGAAGGTTCAAAAGAGTGTGTGTAATCTCGAGACATCGATGGTCCTGACATAGTACGAATGAATTTCTATAAAATTGAGACCCAAAGCACAGATTTCGTTACTGCAAAAAACACCCAAAGTATGGAGATCAAATGCATACGCAACCGACTACAGAAATGCTCTGTCTCGCAAGAACTAGCACAGAAAGAAATATTCATGGTGCTCAAAAAGAAATTTTTGGAGTAGTTGGGAGTCGGAGATATTATCAGAACCAGAAAAAGAATTTTCGATATACACACCCTCTATGTAAAAGATATTCTAACTAAGTAGTACATACAAGATATCTTATTCAAATGTCTTATACTTGAGCATATTCGATTCTGATTTTTTCTCTTTGCCTCTATTTCTACCTAGAATTTCTGAATAAAATAACAGCAACTAATATTAGCTTTAAAAGATATATTCAAGCACTACAATAGTATTTTATAAGCATTTAGACTAAATATATCAATCAAAAGATTACAATCTAATATGCTGTCTTGAATATAATTCTCAATACGTAATTCTAGTTTGACCTTGAAAATATCGATTACATTTTACTATAAAATATAGACTGAAGTTGCACACATAGACAACTTAACAGTTATCTGTAGTATCATCATTAAGAAAGAATTCTAATAATGCATGAGTACGAGATAATTATACATTGGATGAAATAAACCAAAAGAGATGGCTAAAGCTACGATAGACTAAGCGTTTTTATTGTATCTCTGTTGTATAATTATGTTTGATATATATGAAAAATAATATGATACAAAGCATGGTATCGATGTAATATCATGCATACTTTTGGAAATCATATTCACTTACGGTTGCCTTTTGCATACAAAACTAGTTCTATCATCAATAAATATAAAAAATGAATTCATTTTCAAATGAACCATTAAGATTATTTACATCTAAATGTCATCTTCAAAGTAGTCCTTCATTAATAAATATGCAATTGTTTACAACCGAATAGCGGCTTTTCTTTATTATTATCGTCAAACTCAAATGACGCTTAACATGTATGATATTCATCACACAAATTAACAAATAAATATATATTTGAAATAAAATATTCATATTTTAGTTAAAGATAAAACTCGCTTTCTCGATTTATTGTCAACAAGCGAAAATCCTTGACTGTACAGTAGAAAATGTTCGGCTAGGTATGCTTTTTTGTTTGATGAAAAAAAAACTTAAACAAGAAAGAAAAAAAAGAACATTAAGAAAAGAAAAAGATAAACAAAACATTAATGAACTAGACATATTTTTTTCGTCATTTTCCCTGCACATATTTCTTCTAATTATTTTTATCACCATCCAGCTGCTGCACGTTGATGATGATCGCGATCAACAGATCCACTATGATCATCAATCATATATTTAGCTGTATGATTCGTATAAACATCATTGATGTTCGTTGGACCTGTTTGCTGTTGAGTAACTCCAGTCGGTAATTGTGTATAAGAAAATGTTTGTCCAGAAGCTGTCGTATATATATATGATGGTTGTTCAATGGATGCTGATGTTAATGGAGCAGTAGCATAAGTTAATTCATAATAGGATGGTGCACCTGTGGATTGATTTTGTGATGTATGTACACCATTTAATGTAGTTGCTGTTTGATTAGGTATTAAGGAACTGAGAGATTGTGGTGTTGTAGTTGTCGCTAATAGAGTTGTCGTTGGTGGTTGTTGATAATAAATTGGTTGAATACTGAAAATTTATAAAAAAAAAAAAAACTATCCAGATGTGTGACATGTGTTTAATAGCTTATCTTTGAATTGAATTTGAAAGAAAAACTTCTTTTTTTTTGTTTATCTAAACTATCTAATTTTGATAGAGAAAATCTATTTCAACATGAGAGAACAATCACGTCATCAGCACCGTATGTGTGCGTCAATACACAGAGGGTGGCCTTTCATCAGATTCGCTTGATTACTTGGGTGTTCTGTTTTTCAAATAAATATTCTTTTTTTCTCTTCTTTAACTTCAAGATTGATTTGATTTCTCTGCAGGGGGTTCACTCGTCTATACGTAAAACTGAAGCGAGAGAGAGAGAGAGAGAGAAAAAAAAAATTGAAATCAACTCACCCATAAGTTGTTGGTAATGCTGCTGAATAAGCGCCGGCAAGATGAAGTGGGATAAGACCTATAATAATCAAAAGAAAATATATTTATAAATTAATAAATCATTTTTAATTAATCAAAATATTCGTATATTGGTTTAAAGACAACAAAAAAAATCAATCAATCAGTCAAATCGATTACTGCAACCAAGAGACAAGAAACACCAACAACAACAACAATCGAGGTGAAATTCTAAAGGCATACAAATCACGCAAACACGCTGTTAGAGTTTGTTATCGTCTCTTGTATATTTCAATATTTATTTTTAAAGAATCAAATTTCAATTGTCTCAAAACGAAAAGAAAAGAACATAAATTTATATCATCGTTATTATATTTGTTCCTGTTTGTCTCATTCATACTGCTACTATGTGATCAAATAACTATGAGATGAAAAATGAAAGCACTGAGAAAAGACACACGCACGCAAACGAAAGCGAACACACGGGCGCAGACATAGAAGAAGTAAAACAGAGAGAGAGTGTGTGAGCACCACAACAACACCAACGTCAAACACTCGAAATACAGAAAAAAGAGAAAGATTCCATGCCACAATGGTGTGGGTATGGTTGTTATCGTACATATATAAATAGATTTTTTAGTTAATTTATTATAATTTAACTTATTGGGTTAAGAAAAACAAAAAGAATATATAAAAAAAAAAACATCAAGTAACTGGCACAAATTCGTGCTCAGTCAAACAAACGGTAGCGTCATCCAGAGCATCCACTTACTGTCTAGTTTAGTTTTTTTTTCTCATGCTGCTCGTACTACAATTAATGAGGAGAGAGAAACGATAGTCATTTATTGTTATTATTAAATAATTATATATATATAAATATTTTTTTTACAGATAGATATTAAAAAATAATATAGTTAAATTAAACAATATAATATTACATTTAAATCAAAACTTACCAGCTGGTGATGGTATTACACGTGGTTTAGCACCAAGATAAGCTAAATTAACATTTGCTTTTCGACCATCAATAACAGGATTGGCTTCTTTTGTTGCTAAACTTGCGGCTTCTTGTGTATTCATAGTCACCTTTAAAATACAAGTTAATTGCTATGAAAAAATAATATCTTGAAAGGTTTCGTTTGACCTTTCTCTACTAATCATGCATATATATATATATACGCATATTCGAATCTCTAATAAATCTTTATATATTTGCCTTATGATCAAACAATTGTTTGTACAAAGTTGAAAAACATAAGTATATTCATATTAGTAGCAGACATGCTTAGATTCCTTTACTGATTGATGGCACGCCGATGATAAGAAAAGACAGCAATTATCTTCTAAGACAGGAAACTAGCATATTCATTCATGAATATATACATATATATATATATGCGCGTGCTCATAATCAATCTTCTTCTACTTACAAATCCATAACCACGTGATTTGCCCGTTTGTCGATCAGTAATAACCTTTATTAAAAAATAAATCATATAAAATTTCTTGAAATTTAAAACTAAAAATATTTACAACTGCTTCTTCGATTTCACCAAAGCGTTCAAAAAACTTTCGTAATGTATCATCTGTTGTATGGTAAGGTAAACCACCGACAAAAATTTCTACAAAAGTCAAAACAATAATCCTTTTATTGTTTCTGTTTTTCTTTTGTAAATAATATAATCTTTAAATTCTTACTTGTAAATGTTGTATCTTTATGTAATGACATGGATGACGACGATGTAAATACTTGAATGAAAATGAAATAAAAAATAAATTTTTCTTTTTTTTTACTTCAAATATGTCAACAAAACTATATCACTCTCTTTCACTCTGTCTGCTTGTTTCTTTCTCTCTCTGTTTCTTTTAAAAAGTCACATAAAGAACGATAGAAAATGAAAGAACAGAACAAGGTAAATGTAATGACACTCCTGCTATTACTACCAAATAAGAAAAACAAATTATTTCAAGCGTCTGTCACTTTAATAAAATAAAAAAAAAAGAGAAAAAAGAAGAAATCGAAGAAAATATCAATTAGAAGAAAATCGCCTCCTCTGGTATTCTTAACATAACGTCTTATTTGTCTAGCTGTATGAATGATATATGTGTATATAAAAAGGATGGAAAACGAGAAAATAGGAGATCGACTAATTCATCACTAGAGGATACTCCATATACAAGTATGTAGGCGATATGAGTTATAGTAGAAAAAAAAAGAAGACGAAGGGTGAAAGACAAGAACCAATCATCAATATACAATCGTTCTAGAAAGAAGACATTATACAGTTCGCTATCTCTCGTTTTTTTCTTCTTCTTCTTTTCCATTCCAAGATGATGATGATTCTCGTTTGTTCATACAGAAAGAATCCGTTCTGACGATAAAATAGCAATCCATAGACATGTATAAACATAAACAATGTATAAATAATATTTCCTTGCTCTTCGACGCGTATGGAATTGCTCTCGCGAGTCAACAAGGCGATGAGAGAATGCCGTTTTTTTTCCATTAGAAAATTTATCTATACAGCTTTGTATAATCATTGTCTATATCTACTTCTTCTTCTTCTTCTACTTCTACTTCTTTCAATAGCAGAATCGACAACAGCAGGAGGGATAAAAATGATGATACCGAACAAAACGACCTTTTTCTATTCGACGCCCTCCAACTGTTTGTTCTCTTCATTATACGTATGAGATATGGATGAATTAATGTATACGACAAAAAAAGTCTGCACCTACGTAATCGGAAAACAAAGATGTTATTTATTTCTTCTACCATATGTAAAAATTAATTCCATTCATAATGATATGAATCATAATTGCTTATGAGTTTTTTTGTTGTTGTAATCAACATTTATAAGAATACATAAATGTTTCAAATGTCGATTGTTTGAAATAGCAGATCATATCAATTAATCTATTGAACAGATTGTTATAGATTATAAAGTTATATTTAAGTTGATTGTTTCATCTTGTTTATAGAATATTGCTTTAATGAATAAGAATGCAGTATTATTAATTGTATTTTTTTTTGTTTGCCAATGTCAAGTACTCAACTCAAATCCATATAGTAATTTACATAACCAATAAAGTTTTCTATCGGATACGTATATATATTTATATACGTATATCAAGGTTTCATGGTCGGACATTGTGGGATTTCGTTTTTAATATTACTATTTGAAAGAGCACAACATTGTGAATAATATTAGAAACTGCCATGTTCTGTACAACCTTCTCTTATTAAATTTATAAGCATTACAAGAAGAAAAGCATTTTTCAGCGAGTTTTTGATAAATTCAACTGTTTTTTGTTGCTTATAAATTTGCAAGAGAAATTTGTAAGAAACTCGATAATTTCTCATAAAAACGAAAGCCTGTAATATTTTCTAGTTGTAGCTGAAAACTAACGTGTTCAGTTTTAGTTTTAGAAAATTTTTCGACATAATGCATCTGATAGAAAACTTTATTGACTATACAAAATTTACTATTTCTCGAAAGTTGTACATTTTATTGCTCATTTTTTTATGTTTTCCAATTCAATATTATATAATTTGAATAATATTATTTTAAATAAGGTATTTTTACTTCAACTACAAGTTTTGTTTTTATATGAAAAAGTTTATTTTAAATAGGAACAGAATGAATAATATTTTCATAAGAATATCTTTTTCTTTCAAATGAAATTAATAGATCGATTCATATGCACTAATAAAAGATTTAATTAAATTTTGAATATATTTATATATAAGCAATAGACTTGAATAATATTATTTGAAAAAATTTAATAGATAGAATCAAAATAATATTTCTATAATATTCCTTGCAGTAAACTTAGAAAAGAAAAACACAATCTGCTAAATATTAAGAAAATTTTTCTACTCGTTTTAAAAGTCTTCTTTGAAGGAAATTATTTTTTTTTCATTCCTTTTTTTTTTTTTAGTTTCACTTTTTAATTATTTATTTCAGTTATTATGAATCATAAGAATAATATTAAAATCGTGGATTTTGGCTAATAGAGTTTTCATATCGACATGGTGTGTTGCCATAAGGAAACCATGCTGAATGTGTTGTCATTGGAGCATGCTGTATATCCGATTGCCGGAATGGATTTCTAGAAAAAAAAACAGACCAAGGAAATAGAAATAAAACAATTGACATATATTCGATTAACTTACATCACAGGTTCGATTCGATTTGGTATTCCTGTTGCAAGTGTAAGCGGTTCTTTATCAGTTTGAAACTTAATGAGAAAATAAAATGAAATAGACTTTCTTTTATGATTAAATTATATAAAAAACTTACAGCATAGCGAGTTGGTCGATGAACAACATTCGCATCATAATGAACATGATTATTTTTAAAGCATAAATCATTAACATCATCAGGTGATGCATATTCAATTTTAAAACGACCAGGATATTCATTAAGAAATTGAGACCAATTATCATTTGATCGTCTAATAAAAAATTAATAAAGAAACAAAAAAAAATTTTTTATTTTCTTTTGAAATTATATAAATATAATTTTTACGAAATTTGATTTGGAACACTTTGTGGTCGATTATTCTAAATGTATAGAAAATGAATTTCAACTATTCGAGTAAATCAATTAAAGAAAACATACAGTTGAACTTCCTCCTGGTAAATGAAGAGGTTCTTTATATGTGTCATAATGTTTAGGTGGTGCTTTAAACCATTCTGGTCCAAGATATGTATATGTAGCACAATGATAATCTCGACTTTTTACAGCATAATCATCCGATGATTTTTGCCAACGAGTTGAAAATATTGGATTATATATTCGTGTTGTAATATCTGGACTTGCTTTTGGATAAATTGGATGACTAAAAATTTCATTTTTAGTAAACTCTTATTTATTTTTTCAATAATTTAAAAATTCTTCTTCTTTTTCTTTTTCTGTACTACTAACCGACCGATATACGATGGAGTGTATGGTATTGGAAGAATGCGATTAAGATGACTAGCTGAATCCGTTGTTCCAAATTGTGTCATGATAGAAAGTCAATGCTTATTGTCGAATAAAAATTGTGTGTAGTGTTATAAAAAATAAAAAAAGAAACGTTTAGAAATCATTGTTGTTATTGATGTTGCTATGTTCTATAGGTTTTCTTTCTCATATTTCAGAAAAAAGAAAAAAATACAATACGTTCTTTTTTCCTCTTATTCTTCATCAAATAGATTGCAAATGGCATTTTATTTTTTTTTAACCATTTTTTTTTGAATAATAACATTTGCTTTTCTTGATCAACAGTGCCACATAGCGTTTGAGCATATTTTCGATCATGCTGTATGCATTATTTAGTTTTTTTTTTTTTCTCTTTTTTTTTATATAGTTTGTTAAAGAAAAGAAAAATTGAATGTTATACATTGAACAGAAAAAGAACTACACCGATGCTTGATAATTTTTTTTAATAGAAGGTTAAAACAGACAATACAAGCTTCTATCATCTAGACGCACAAAAGTGAACATTAGTTGGTTTGTTTTTAATAATATGATAGTTATAATCAAGAAATAACATCTAACGAACGACGTTGAAAAAAGAAAAAGAAAAATACGTGTTGTAGAATTTTCTTTATACATTACAAATAAGTTGAAAAATGAAAGAAAGAAACTTATTTATATATACATTTAAGGATGAAGAATAAATGATATTAAAGATTTTCTTTCTAACAAACAGATCTTTTGTTTTTCATCTTATTTCGAATATTCAAGATGATCCTGTTGATCCATAATTCATTAATTCAGTGAAAGCACGTTCGAATGCTTGATGTAATTCAGAATAACTAACAATAATAACATTTTGCTCATCTCGTGATGTAAGACAGATTTTATCATGTGAACCGGCATCGAACTGAAACAAACAAATATATATATATAAAATAAAAGAAAATGTTTAATCCAAGAATTTTGTTTTTACTTTATTTAAACATTGAACAATATGTGCTATATCAATAGTTGGTTCACCATCGAAACCAACTGAATGAAATACAAAATCACGAAATAATTTCAAAATATAACGATCACCTGTTTCGGACCAAACTTGATTCATTGAATGTCTAAAATTTCGTGTTTATTTTAAAATATTTCAAACAACAAAAAAAAGAAATTTTTTTTTTTACTCCGGTCGTTCAAGAAGTGCATCAAGTTTACAAATCAAACGAAACAAACGACCACAATCAAGCTCCTAAATATTCCAAAAATTATTATTAAAGAAAATTTGTATTTCATTGTTTTTTTTTATCCAATAAAATAATTTATTTAATTGACTTACTTTAGCCAATTCATTTTCAAGAATATCACCGCGTACATGTAAATTATCAATTTGTGCATAAAAACGTGCACCTATCATTGGCATACATTCATTAATAGTTTTTGGCTTTGATGTATTCGATGGTAGTAAGAAATGTCTAGAAATACAAATAAATATAAAACATTAAAATCAACAGGTTGATTCAAAAGTCATCCGACGGTCTCTGATTGTGAATAACTTTTGAAAGGAAAACGACAGAGACCTGCGACTTTCACTATTCGAAAGAGGTTGAATCACGGTATAATTCAACAATGTCAGCTCATGATCCTATTGCCTTTCATATACTTATGGCTCGCACCTACATACAATCACTGTCTAGTGTTATACCTATAACTATTCAACAGATAACGATAAACATTTCTTGTGTGAATGCAGATCTTGAGCACACGAATCTAGTGCATTTCTTTAAATTAAACTTTCGTGTTATTTTCATATGGGTGCCAGTATTTTTCTAGAGTCTACTATCTGACAATGCAAGCATCGACTGACATTTTGCCAACGGTGATATATTCGCAGCTACTATTCAAAAATAAAGATTGTCGGATGACTTTTGAATTATTCTGTATTTTAGTATTTTTCATTAGAAAACTTACAGAATAAGATTTTTAAGGTCATGGGAATAATTTCGTTGGACTATTTCTAATGATGTTTGTAAATGTTCTTTTTGTGCGCCTACAATGGAATTACATGCTAACATTAATATCAAACGACCAAAATCTTGTAAATCATTTAACTAGAAAAAAAATGATATTTAAATAAAACCAAAAAAAAATGCTTATTTTACTATATGTTGATGAACAGTTCCATTAATACTTCCATCAAGAATATCAGCAATACCTACACCACTAAGCCATACTCTAGAAACATAAAAATACAATACTTAATAATTTATTAAAATAAAAAAAAAACTTTCATCTACACATCATAATGAGGGCAAAATTAAGAAAGTTATATGTATCTATTGGCAGGATTAAAAAACACTTAATATTTAATCTTTTCATTCTATATGACTATACAGACTATTATTCTATATAAAATAATATAATTTAAGGATGTAGCACAATTCTATTTTCTTCATGTAACACATATTTAGATATGTTATATACCTAGATTTTCCGCGTCCTGCTTTTGAATCACCATCAACAAGTATTCTTGATAAATTTAAACATCTACAAGCAAGTGATACTCCATGTAATGTTCGAATTAATGATGATATCTGTACAACATATTCCCATATAAGTGATTCAGGTAATAAACCTGTATGACTGGTTCCTTAAATAAAATTTCATATATATATATATATATGAAGATATAAAATATAAAATTATCTTTCATATACCTTTACCAGCACTGAATGGACGATCTTCACCAGATAGATTATACGGATTAGCCCAACCTTTAAGTACACTATTATTTGAACTAAAATGTCGTTTTTGTAACGTTTCACAACATGGTATAAAATCATAGACAAAGACAATAGCTAGAAGTATTTTTAATGAAGATAGTTTTAAAAATAAAAAAAAAACAAATAAATACAAGGTTGTTCATCGTCAAAATCTTTGGTTAGAAAAACTTCACGTAATTGTACAATATTAGCATGAATAATTTTTTTCCATGCTTCAACAACATCATAAAGACGTGCTGTTGGTAATTTACATCCTTTATTAAATAAATACAAAGAGAAAAAAAAGGAAAACATTTAGAAATATTAGAAAAATGTAAAGAAGATTTTATTGTTTTAAATTTTATACCCATTATTCTTTTTAAATAACATACAGCATTAGTTCGTGTATGTGTTGCTTTATAACTTATTGTTTGATAACGAAATGTACGTGATTTATGTGGAACATTTGCTTGACTACTATCAAGTGGCATTAAATTATAATAATCACCAACCCGTTCTGGCATAGCTTAAATGAATAAAATTTAAAAATTAATTCATGACATTGATATCTTTCTTCTTCGATTAGCAATAGGAAGATCAAAATGAAGAAATGGGTGTAGTTCTTGTTCTTATCCAAACTTCATCCTCAACTATCAACCTTAAATGCAAGATCAAAACAAATGTATGAGCGAATTCGAGTGATGGCCCGCACTTATAAATTTCAGAAGAAATCGATGGTTTTCTACAGGAAGAATATTTAACAAGTGATCGTAATTCATATCAATCTCTTAATAACTTTGCTAGAAAAAACATGTGCATTCCTGCTATATCAGCATCAGTCGAGCATGTGTCTTCTCAAAGTAGTCTTTTAATGAAATCGCATTCGTTCCAATTTTTCACAAGCCAATATATGCATGTTAACATCTTCGAAGAGTAATAAGACATTAATTTAAATGTTGATAAATATTTTTTTTGTTTACACACAACTTCGAGTTTAGGTTTTTGTTTATAAAAAAGAGTAAATGTTTCACTGTCCTTACTTTGTTCAGAAGGCTATAGTAGTTGTGTCAGTTTATTTTATGTAGGACTGTTCTTATTTTATTTCTATGTATACAAACGAAAAATAAGATATCGTGAGAGCGAAAACTTTTTTTGAATGTTCTTCATATGAATAAAGAGAAAACGAAAAAAAATTAACTCGACACGGAACTATTGCGAAATGACTTAGACTCTTTATATCTTTTGGCTTGTGTATGATCTATATTACAATGTTAGTATTGTGCTAAAAATAAAGAACGTCTTATGAACTAAAATTCTCGATATTTATCCTTTCGATCTTTCAACTGCACAGCTCTTTTTCTTTGTCTTACCTCCTGCTACATCAAGATTTGCAGATGCCATTAACATCTGATTACGCCTAAGTAATTCAGCTCTAAGAGAAACGAAAGTAAAAAGTTCTTTTTTCTTCCTATTTGAACAAAGATTACCTCAATTCATCACTCATAAAATATGCAAAATCAGATCGTGCTTGTCGAACAGATGGCATATCAGGTGGTATTGTACGTTCTTTTTCATCACGACTTGAACCACCCATAAGTAGATCATCATCGGTCAATTGTTGCATCTGTATATTTATACATATATAATCAATAAAATTTTTTTAAATGTACACACAAACAAAAACAGAAATCATATATCATTTAAACGAAACGAAAGAAAACTAAATAAATAAATGAAAATTGCGAAAATTACACTGTATGGTGCCGCTTGTGAATAAGCATAAAAATCAAGATTATTCTCTGGCGATATGCGTGCACTATTGTCCACGGCTGCTGCATCAACTAAAGAAAAATTTAATAAAACAAAATAAAATTTCAATCTATAGAAAAAGAAAAACATTATCATGCAGAAAATAATCGACAAATGAAACATGCGTGATTCTTTTCTTTTTTTTTTAAGCAATATATACAAGCATACTTGTCATTTGTAAGCTTTTGCGTACTGAAAGATGCAGAAGCAAAGCAATATACGCACAAAAAAAGTTTTTCTTATTAAAAAAAAAAAAAAAAAATATTAATTAGATTAACGTACCATGGCTGGAAACTGGTCCAAGACTACTAAATGGTCCATTAACACCCAGATGAGCTAAACGGGATGTACCTATGATACTGTTAGCCTAAAAATTAAATTATAATACATGAGAAGTGCAGAAAAAAAACATACAATGATAGTTTTCATATTATTCAGATTTTTATTCTTCTCATAGTCGACTCTTTATTAACGCTTCGAAATGTATATCCACCGATATGTAAAATACTAGCAATTGTCTTTAAGCTTTCATTATACAATTTCAGNTGCATGAATACCCATAGAGATTTTTTGGAGATGCGATTAGCTATTTTTCGACCCTTGTTTGGTTCGTATCTACCTTATACATCAGGATAGAAGGCTGAAACTTTTATCACGTGCGTCCTATCCCAGGCCCAACATATCCTCCAAATATCAGCCTGTTTGGATGTTCCTGGGCTGAGATCAATTTTTGAGGGGGGGGGGGGGCCCCTTAAAATAGTCTGGCGACAAAATATTGTGCTGTTTCTTAAGGTGTGGGTATGGGAGTCTTTTCATGAAGAATAGACTAACACCCACATCCTGGCAATACTGAGAATGCAATTATTTATGAGCCACTCGTTATTTTCAAAAATAAAGAGAGCTAACTATAGAATATATAAAAGTATGCGTCAATAATTATCATAATAACTTTATCCATAGCGAACAGATATTTACTGTCCTCTTCAGTAAATATAACATAGAAATATCACAAATTGAATTCAATTTGTGCATCAATTTGTTTTTTTCGTGAAATTTCTTGATTTTAATTTTTAAATATAAAAAGAGAACAAAACAAAAGGTGAACAGCATTACGTTTTAATTTTACTTTTAAAAAATTTTTCAATTTGATTCTTAAAATAAATTGGAAGCAGTGATAGTATAGCACAAAACGACAGCATAAATATTGAACCCCATGAAAAAACATCCAATGGTGATGATAATTGATGAATTGTTTTACCTGCTTGAATGAATAATATTGATGGTAATGCAACACCAGCAAATGTACCAAGAAAAAATGGTTTTAATGGTACATCAAGTATAGGTGAACAAAGATTTATAAACCAATTGGGTAAAATAGGTGTTATACGAAGAAAAATCATGAACCATAAAAGACTATCTGAACGTTTTTGAACCTATATTAAAAAAAGGGAACATTTCTTTTTTATATTATATAAAAAATAAATAAATATATATTTACTTTTCTTTGCCAATCAATAATTTTCGCTCGAAAATATTTTAATAAAAGAGGTCGACCAAATAATTTCGAAAGTAAATAACAAAAACTAGCACCCAATGATGAACATAGACAAACAAGAAATAATGCTAAAGGAAACGGGTAAAGGAATCCAGCTAAAATGCTTAAAAATATTGAGCCTGGGATAGCAAAGGTTTGCAGACTGAAAATAGAAAAAAAACAATTTTTTGTTTTGTGATTTAAATAAATAATTTGTTAAACTTACAAAATGTAAGTAAGAAAAAAAGCGATCATTATTATATATCGATGGTGTTTACTATATTTATATAAAACATTCCCAAGAATTTTTGCATCATCAATTGTTTTCGGAATTTTAAAAGCACCTTTTTCCTCACTAAAAAATAATTTTCTTTTTGTTGCTTGTTCTTTTTTTGTAGTTTTATAATTGTCTACATACGGATTAACATTTGGAAATAAAATATAGACCATCAATAAACATGTCATTGAGATGAGAAATATTAATGCAAGTAGAACAAAATGACGACGTTTTATACGTTCATTCTGTACAGGATTTGAATAACCGATCATTGATTTTGATTGAAAATCTAATCGAAATATGAGTCTGAATGAAAGCCAATTCGATTGTAAACAACCAGACTTTAAGAAGATCTATCTTAATTTTTTGTCTGTCATGCTTTACTAAGATTGCATCACGATGCAATAATATTAATTCTAATACGTCGAAGGATACTTGGAGAAGCAGTGAATAATAAATATCTTTGTCTCAATTTATACATGATGGACAGAAATAATTATTATAACCTGATAGGTCGATAAGAACATTTAAATAAGAATTCTAGTTAGATTTCTATGAAGATTAACATAATACTATCCTTATGGTTGTACCTACTCTCATGATTTTCTCATTTGTATATGTATCATTCTGTGATATCATTACAATAATAACATAGAAAGTAAAACTTTGAATAAGTACAGCAATACTATAACTGAGCTATATCAATTCGGTTGACTCAGAATTGAATTAATCACTAGTCCTTCAAGTCACTGATAATATCAAGATTCATATTTTCATTTGCAAAACAAAAGAAAAATTTGAACATGTTTGCTTTCATATAGTATTTAACATAAATTCAAAGACTAACTTCTTATTTATAATGATATTGTTTCTCACTGATTTCTTTTTTCATCTTTTTTTTAATTTTATACAATACTTACTTTAACTATTTTGACATTAATATAAATAAATTGAATATCTAAAACAAAAACTAATAATGTCGTTTTCTTCATCCTATATTAAAAATAGAAACTTGTTTTTTATTCAAAATAAAATCGTTTACATAAGAAACAAGAAAAGAAAAAAAAACAATTATTTTCTTTAAGAATGTTCTCAAAGTAATTCACATGTTCTACTACGTAATCGTCCTTGAAAGGATTTTATTGATTCAGGTGGTTCACTAGCAGCTTCATACATTTTTAATGGTTGATTATTACTAATTCTGGTATTTGGTATACTATTTTCAGTAAGATGTGATACAACATCATTGTTATTTATTCTAGTTGATGCAGTTAATTCAACAGATCCTGTTGATCTAGATATAGAATTATTTGAATGTAATGATTGATTAAAACCATTCGATTTTGATGTAAATGGTAGAGAATCGTCTATTGTTACAGATTTAGAAATTTTCGATTGTTTTGATCGATTTTCTTCAGCTTCTTGTCGTTTCATTTCTTCGAAAACCCGATGAAATGGACGTATTTGAATATTTCCAGATCGATCTTTTTTATTTAATACAAAATATGTACTCGTAGGTAAAGAACCATTTATTGTCGTTTTCGTACGTTCTTCAAATTCATATGATTTTCGATCAAGTAATCTATATGTTGCATCACTTATATGAATATGCAATGCCTAGAATAAGAAGATTGTTTTCAAAAATTATTTTTTTTTCAAATTCAACAATTAATATAATGTACAAACACGAAAAAAAAGAACTCAATTAACTAATTTAACGATTTGTTGATTTCTTAAGATAAGATTTTCTTCACATAGAAAGAGCTTATTAAAATAAAATACCAAAACGCTGATTATTCCAATGAATTAATATGAATATTAGTAGCGTAATTAAGTGTGGGCTATGTTGGGTGTTGCCCTACCACCAGAAGAAACAAAAAACGTAATAATTACCATCATTAAGACTATATTCCAAGATTTTTCCACATGATCTTAAGGCACGATCCTAACACTCATGATCTGATTACGACACTAATGAATATATGAGCAAGAATATATTCCTCCTAACCTTTCGTTTTCTTTATGAAGAAACATTATATACTGCAGATAAATATATTGTTATTCTGAAAGTTTCAATTATAGACAACAAGAATTAGTTAGAATCAATTGTACTATTTAAAAATAATTTTTGAGAATATTTCTCTTATAGATATAAACTATGAATATTCCTTTCTCACTAGTAAAAATATCAGCCCATATGGTGGAGTAATTCAAACTTTTCTTTATTTATTTACTTTAAGAGCACTCTATAGAATACTTACTTTACTAGTTTGTTCTATTAGATTTGCTTTTGATACTGCGTCACCAAAAAGACAATAACGAGGCATTTTAATTCCAGCTATACCAGCAACAACTTGTCCACTATGGCAACCTAAAATGAATAGAAATTCTATTTCGTTTTACTTGTGTATTCAACAACTAACCAATACGTATTTTAAGTTTTTCATTATGAGTTGGATTTGATACAGTAATAATTGTATCAAGCATATCGAATGCCATATCAATAATTTCTGCAGCATGATTTCGAGCACCTAAAAAAACAAGAAAACAAAAATCTCAATAATTATTTTATGAAAAAGAAACAACTTACGTTCAGGTAAACCACTTACTAACATATAAGCATCACCGATTGTTTCAACTTTATAACAATTATGACTTTCCAAACATTTATCAAATTTTGTATACATTTCATTAAGAATAGAAACAACTTCCATTGGTGTAAGTGATGCACATATTGATGTAAAACCAACAACATCACTAAATAATATTGTACAACTTTCAAATGTCTATAAAATAAAATTAAAAAAAAAGAAAACGTCGATCAATTATACGTAGAATGAGTAAGTGACACATGAATATAATAAATAGAATTCTTACTATTGGTTACTCTTAAGAACTATTCAATAGCATCCTATAGAGATCGCTTATATTTATGTTAGTCTGTTCAATAGAAAAGAAATTATAGATTGTTGATCGTTTAATATGAATAGAATAGAATCATTATTATCAGAACAATATTTGAAATAGAAGATTTTGAATGCTTTCCTTCTTTTAAAATCGAAACTTCAAGCAATTTCAATCGTTTATCTCCTCACAACGATTACATTCAAGCATCTTACCATCACATCTCGAAAAACAAATGTCAGTTCCATTTCTTGTGAGATATTCGAGTAATATTAAATATACTGTACATATTAAGAACATTAAAGAACCCTTCAGATCTTTGATCAATTCCAGAGATAGTGTCAATGTCATTTTTTTTCTATTTGCAAGCTGATCCTTAGGGCTAGTGATTATCATGGTCTTTTTTTCTTCAAAATAAGTTTTAATCAAAGAAGAGAGATTTTTTTAAAAACAATTTCACATATTCATAGAATCATGCATATTTCACAAAAGTCAGCAAAGAAGAAAATAAAAGATGATCATGACATTTACTAGCGGCAAGTGTCTTCTTTCAAATAAGAAAAGAAAATTGACTCTGTTACATGAAGGAATCGAATGACGTCGGAGACACCAATGATCTCAAAATGGGTATTAATATTGCTATAACTCCAATATACTATGAGAGATGGCGATGAAATTTTGTTTTCTATTTATAACAAGACAAGCTCAAAATGTGCACAATGGTTCAGCCTAATATCATGTAATAACATGAAAATCCTATTTTGTGGGAAAGACAAAGGTCTTAAAACAATATCTCTGATGTTTTCTAAGAAGATCATGTATATCCCTCTTATATATTTTGAGAGTCTTCTAGAGTTTCATTATAGATTTTCTAATATTCTATTATTCTAGGTCAGAATAAACTAAAAAGAGAAATGTTGAAATTTCAGATACATAAAATACCGAAATTGATTTGCTTTCAGCCTCTATCGCATAAGATATCAAACAAGTCAATACATGAAAATAGATACCTTCATAATTCGAATTAATTAATATTTATGTGCATAAGACAGACGAAGAAGAATATATTGTTTTGAATATTTTTGATGTTATTTTTCAAAACATTTAATTTAATTTACACTAAGCTTTTTCTTCTTGTCGAAGGAATGACATGACTTTATTCTCATAAGAAAAGCAAACCAAATTTAGAAGTATAACATTGTCAAGGAATCTTAGTTACAACTGAAATTCAACTTTATTCGATGATGAAGTCGAAATACCTACACATCAGGTCAATCAGAAAATCTTCATCGATAAACAACGATAAATGCGAGACGATAACGTATCAAATGAATGTGCTTTTTCTCTTTACTTGTCTGCTTCAGTCTATATTTTAAACATTTCACAAAAGAATGAGAATCAAAATTAGACTATGAGTGAAGATGTATACTGATTTTTTTTTCCAGATTAAGCTTATATTCTATGATATCGAAAAATAAATTTTAATAGTCAATAGATATTCTTACTTCACAAAGATTAGCTGTTTTTTCACCATTTCGTAATCGATCAGCAATTTTCTTTGGTATCATTTGATATAAAAGTATATCGGTTTTTTTCATTTCTATATCCAATTTTTTCATACTCTCTTCTAATGCTTTACTTTTTTGTTTTTCCTAAGAAAAGAAATATAATAATCAGCATACTTTGGAATCATAGTTTTAATTACTTGGTCAAGTGCTAACTTAAGTTCAGCACTTTGTTGTGTACCAGCTAAGACTAAATCTCGACTTGAATCATGCATTGAAAGATCATTTATAAATAGACCAGTATTAATCATAACATCAAGGTTTTCTAGACTAAAATAAAAATACACATTTTTTTTTGTCTAGTAATCTTTAATAATAGAAGAGAAACTTTACACTGGTGTTGCCAAATAAATAATTGTTTTCCATTCATGTAAATATAACATTTGACCACGAAGTCGTAAATATGTTTCTTGATTATCTCGTTGAGATGACATAGTTAAAAGCATTTCTAAAATAAACAAAATTAATGAACTAAAAACTATAAAAAAAAAAAGAAAAGTAAAAAGAAATTTTTATTTTACCAGAATCATTTATTTCTATCGCATCATTTGTTTGTGAATTATTTTCATTTATCTGTTTCCGTAAAGGTTCAATTGTTGTAAATTCAAATACGTTATTCGAATGTAAAATAATTTGTGACCAATTTAATGTAATAATAGGTCTGAAAACAAAAAACAAAGAACTTTTCTCTTTAAACAAAAGAAAACAGAACATATATCTTTGTCATTTTACCGAATAAGATAAAATATGTCGCGTACTAATTCACCAACAATATGTGGAAAAAGTTGTGTTAATGAATCTCC